AACTGTGAAACGATCAAGGAACACCGAGCCCCTCCCCAACGAAAAAGGGTTCCTTCTTCAGCGCCCCGACTGTATCGTTTAACCGATCCCCATCCCCAGCGGCGTGGCCTGGGCCCCACTGGCCGATTTACCCCCCTAGATGGGGATATAGGTCGTTCCCTTGGAGTTTCGAGGGGTGGGAATTTGGTGGGGGTCTCGAAGGGGATGAGGATGGGGATGGGGATCGTTTAAAGGATACTGAGCCTTGGCGCCGCGAACACTGGTCTTTTACATGTGCAAGAGTGTCACGGACTGAGGGCGGGCGGTTTTCAAGGATGTTGCTCTCGCCTCAGCGCCGCGCACATCCGTCTCAAAAATGTGCAAAGTTTCACGGATTGAGGGCTAGCGGCTCTGGAAATGTGGCTGTCGCCCTAGCGCCGCGCACATTCGAATCAAACGCTTGCATGAGTTTCACTGGTTTCCATGGTCAACGCACCAGAATATTAGTTTGGGAACGATTCAGGATTGTCGGGGCGCCGCAACAAGTATGTTGATTCGTGGCGGTGGAGTCCAAAGAATAGCGTCCTGGCACGACTGATGATCGTCAACACGCAACAAACAGGTTGATTCGTGGCGGTTGATTCGCGTGGTTGACGAGAATGGTGTTTTGGCACGCTTCAGGATCATCGAACGGTTGTCTCCCAAAGGGACCCTTCCACTTCTGGGGCCTATAAAGAGGGAGCTTGGAGGAAGGGTTTCTTCCAACATCGTTGATGAGTCTTGGGATTTACACTGGACCTCCTCCTCATCATCATCCGCCTATTCCTACTCCTCCTCCTCCGACGACGACGACGATTTCTCTTCCACACTCCTCCTGTTTCCATTGCATGCTCCTCCACATCCCCTTCTTCCAACTGCATGCTCCAGGTATGACGGCATCCCCGACCCATTCTTCTACTGCATGCTCCTCCACATCCCTGATCAGGGCAACTCGCCTGGGCATCGTTTGTGGATGGGCTGGTGGGGTTACGCGAAACGTCTTGAATATTGTCCCGTCTCCTCCGAGTCCGCCACCATGCCAAAGGCACTCAGTAGGTTCCTCAATACTGCTCCTCTAAAGCCGCAAACCTCCGATTTCCAGGACATCTGGAAGATCCCAACTCTTATTGGCGCTCTTGAGATATGCCGCCAAATCGTACGGACAACGCTTCTGTGAACCATTATTCGACCACAGCAGGACGAGGTGTTTCGTCGGCTGACAGCCACAAGCGTATTTGTTTCCACAGCGACAGGAGGCCGCGGTGACTTGCGGTGGGAAACTTCGACGCGACTCCTCCCCATCCTCCTCAACATGGTCCTTCCCCTTGTCATTATCCCCCTCCTCCCCTCATTCGTCCTCCTTCCACATCCTCCCGCAGAGTACGCTCGGATGTGGTGAATGTCTAGCCGACGTCCTCCCCCCTCCTCCCTCCCGTTCCTCCTCCTCCACCTCATCATCATCTTCATCCTACGACTACTCGTACTACTACTACTACTACGACTACTACTACGACTTCTACTACTCCTCCTCCTCCTCCTCCTCCTCCTCCTTCTTCTTCTTCTTCTTCTCCTCCTCCTCCTCCTCCTCCTCCTCCTCCTCCTCCTCCTCCTCCTCCTCCTCCTCCTCATACTACTACTACTACTACTACTACTACTACTACTACTACTACTACTACTACTACTACTACTACTACTACTACTACTACTACTACTACTACTACTACTACTACTACTACTACTACTACTACTACTACTACTACTACTACTACTACTACTACTAACTACTACTACTACTACTACTACTACTACTACTACTACTACTACTACTACTACTACTACTACTACTACTACTACTACTACTACTACTACTACTACTACTACTACTACTACTACTACTACTACTACTACTACTACTACTACTACTACTACTACTACTACTACTACTACTGACTACTACGACGACTACTACTACTACTACTACTACTACTACTACTACTACTACTACTACTACTACTACTACTACTACTACTACTACTACTACTACTACTACTACTACTACTACTACTACTACTACTACTACTACTACTACTACTACTACTACTACTACTACTACTACTACTACTACTACTACTACGACTACGACTACGACTACGACTACGACTACGACTACGACTACGACTACGACTACGACTACGACTACGACTACTACGACTACGACTACTACGACTACGACTACGACTACTACGACTACGACTACGACTACTACTACGACTACGACTACGACTACGACTACGACTACGACTACGACTACGACTACGACTACGACTACGACTACGACTACTACTACTACTACTACTACTACTACTACTACTACTACTACTACTACTACTACTACTACTGCGGTGGCCGATCAACCTCGTGCTCCAACACGGCCTGGCACCTCTACTTCTCTGAGAGCGGTGAACGAAGAAGATTGGAGAGAGCGCGTGGCTGACGAGCGCATCTGGGTGCAGAAGTCGAGTCTAGCGTGCAGCGGTGCGAGTGAGACTATCGGAACCTCGGAGGCGAGTGACGCGACGGCATCCTTGCGAAAGGACTTGGTAGCGGCGGCCGCCAAGGAATGCCGCGAGCTGAACGAGGCCATGAGCAAGGCGATGAAGACCCCTCGCCAGGGGTCCAGCAGCGGTCGGGGCCCAAGCTGGGCACATTCCACATTCGATGGTGTCGCGCGGGCGACGATGCGCGACAGCGTCGCCGAGGCAGTGTGCAGGGGCTGCGAACTGGCTGGCACTGTGCAGGCGTGGGTGAAGGTCCTCACGCTCGCCGCCGAACCCGAGAAGGCATGAACACATGGCGGCCGCCAGAAGGCCGAGAGAGAGCCGGGGTGGTGCGACGTGGTTCGTTTTGCTCCTGTAGGTGGTCCCTACGAATTGCAAGTTACGCGTGAGCGCATGCGCCACGACCGTGAGCATGCGTCTGGTATGATGGAGAAGGAGAGCGGGGGGTCGTGACACACAGCCACCCCACTCAAATAAACACACACGAAAACACATAAAAATGGACGTGCAGAAAACAACGATGATTCCTGCTTTAGTATAAAAATAAACCACATGAAACAAACAAACACACACACACATCGAAAAACATATCTTGACGAAAGGCCCAACATGCATGTGTGAGTACCGCAGTTATGTGTCCCGCCTTCGGTGGAGCTCCATATGGGGCCACGGAACGTGTGAATGGGTGCGGCCTCGCTATGCGAACCCTGCCACTGGGGCCTTCGGTGGAGCTCCAAATGGGCTACGAAACTCATGAAATGCATGAGCGGTGTGCCGAAATGGGTGCGGTGGCGCCACGCGAACTTTGCCACTGAGGCCACCGGCCACGAAACGCGTGGTGGCACCATGCGAACCCTGCCACTGGGGCCTTCGGTGGAGCTCCCTATGGGGCCACCGTGTGACGGGTGTGCCGAAATGGGCGCGCTGGCGCCATGCTAACCCTGCCACTGGGGCCTCCGGTGGGGCTCTCTATGGGGCCACGAAATGTAGAATGTGCCGAAATGGGCGCGGTGGCGCCATGCGAACCTTACCACTGGAGCCGTCGGTGGACCTCCCTATGAGGCAACGGAACGCGTGAAGGGTGTGCAAAAATGAGCGCGTTGGCGCCATGCGAGCCCTGCCACTGGAGCCGTCGGTGGAGTTCCCTATGGGGCCCCGGAACGTGTGACGGGTGTGCCGAAATGGACGCGGTCGCGCCATGCAAACCCTGCCACTGGAGCCTTCGGTTGAGCTCCAATTGGGGCTACGAAACGTTTGAGGGGTGTGCCGAAAGGGGAATCCTGTCACTGGGGCCTCCGGTGGAGCTCCTTGCAGGACCACAAAACATGTGATGTGTGTGCCGACATGAGTGCGGTGGCGCCACGCGGAACCTGCCACTGGGGCCGTCTGTGGAGTTCCCTATGAGGCAACGGATCGTGTGAAGGGTGTGCCGAACTGGGCGCGGTGGCGCCATGCGAATCCTGCCACTGAGGCCTTCGGTGGATCTCCCGATGGGGCGACGAACCTTCGGTGGAGCTCCCGTAGGACACGAAACGTGTGAGGGGTGTGCCGAAATGGGTGCGGTGGCGCCATGCGAACCTTGCCTCTGGGGCCTTCGGTGGAGCTCTCATATGGGCCCACGAAACGTGCCGACATGGGTGCGGTGGTGGCGCCATGCGAACCCTGCCACTGGTGCATTCGGTGGAGCTCCCTATGGCGCTACGAATCGCACGAGGGGTGTGCCGAAATGGGCGCGGGGCCGCCCTGCGAACTTCGCCACTGGGGCATTACATGCGGACACGAAACGTGTGAGGGGTGCGCCGAAATGGGGGGGCCGCCATGCAAACCCTGCCACTGGGGCCTTTGGTGGAGCTCCCTATGGAGCCACGAAGCGGGTGAGGGGTGCGCAAAAACAGGGCCAGGGTGGCTGTGCGAACCTTGCCACTGGGGCATGCGGTGGAGCTCCCTATGAGGCCACGGAACGTGTGAAGGGTGTGCCGACATGAGCGCGTTGGCGGTATGCGAGCCCTGCCACTGGCGCCGTCGGTGGAGCTCCCTTGGGGGCCCCGGAACGTGCGAGGGGTGTGCTGGCATGGCTGACATGCGGAGGGCTGAAGCAGAGATCGGAGGGAGGGGAAGGGAGGAGGAGGAGGAGGAGGAAGAGGAGGAGGAGGAGGAGGGGGAGGAGGAGGAGGAGAAGGAGGGGGAGGAGGAGGAGGAGGAGGAGGAGGAGGAGGAGGAGGAGGAGGAGGAGGAGGAGGAGGAGGAGGAGTGACGCGGGGCGCTGTCTCGTGAAAACGAGGACCCAACATCAAAGGATGGCTGGGAACAATGACTTCCTCTCATCCCCTCCCCCTCCCCGTCGTCCGCCCGTACTCCGTCCTCCTCTCGAAGCGCCGCCTTGACAGCTGATGCAACCTCCCCCCCCTCAGTGGGCCAGCGCGCCATCAGCAGCAGCGGCTGCGCCCCCGACTCCTCGGCTGCGGCACGCTGCCGCCATCACGGCCCCATCCCTTGTCCTCCGCCTCCTTATCCTCATCCCTCTCTTCTCAACTTCATCCTCCTCATTGTTCATTGTTCATTGTTCAGTCCTTTCTCTCCTGCTCCTCCTCCTCATCCTCCTCGTCCTCTTCTTGCTCCTCCTCCTCCTCCTCCTCCACATCCTCCTCCTCCTCCACCTCCTCCTCCATCTACCCATCATCCCCTCATCATCCTCTCCCTCCTCCTCATTTGTTCCGCAACCCCCCACCTAAACCTGGTGGCAAAGTTCCTGAGGTCGTTTTTTGTTTGTGATTTTGTTGCAGCGTGCCTCGCCCAGCAGCAGGTACACACGCCCGATAATAGGAGGTTGGGGGCTGGAACGGAAGTGGTCCCAACCAGGAAATCGGTTTCGGTTTCGGTTCGTGTCGTGCGTATGGGCGAAGCGAAGCCGCGCGAGTTCCATCCCCATCTATTGCCAAACGGGCCGCCCCCCGAGCGCCGGGCGTGGCCCCTGGTTGTCCCGATGGTTGTGCCAGCGGTTGTCCCGACGGTTGTGGTTGTCCCGATGGTTTTCCCGATGGTTGTCACGATGGTTGTCCCGATGGTTCCTCCCGATGGTTGTCCCGATGGTTGTCCCGCTGGTTGATAGATAGATATATATAGATAGATGTATAGATAGAAAGATATATAAATATAAAGATATATGTATACATAGATAGATGTTGTTAGATGTTGTCCCGATGGTTGTCCCGATGGTTGTCCCGATGGTCGATAGTCCGGCGGTTGTCCCGACGGTTGTCCCGATGGCTGTGGTTGTCCCGATGGTTATCCCGATGGTTCCTCCCGATGGTTGTCCCGATGATTGTCCCGATGGTTGTTCCGATGGTTGTCCCGATGGTTGTCCCGATGGTTGTCCCGATGGTTGTCCCGATGGTGAACAGAAAGAAAGATAGACAGATGTTGTTAGATGTTGTCCCCATGGTTGTCCCGATGGTTGTCCCGATGGTTGTCCCGATGGTTGTCCCGATGGGTTTCCCACTGGTTGTCCCGATGGTTGTCCCGATGGTTGTCCCGACGGTTGATAGATAGATAGATATGTAGATAGAGAGGGACAGAGAAATAGATAGATAGAGACATCTGTATACCTATATATACATGTATTTACACACACATACACCTGTATATATGTTGAGATATAGACAGTGAGATATATAGGTAGAGAAACACATAGATGTAGAGACATAAAGATATTTACATGTATAAATATATAGAGATGGATAGATATATAGATAGACATCTAGAGATATACAGAAATGTAGAGAGGGGGATAGATATAGAGATGTACACATATACAGATGGACAGACGTATGGATAGAGTAAAATGTGTATTGATTGATTGACTGATGGGCTGATAGACTTATATGGTGATGGATATATAGGTGGAGAGAAAGATAATTGGTAGTCCTGAATAACTAGATACATACGTCGATAGATTGATGGGCATATATTCGCGACACTAAATAATTTAAGAAGCCACCAAAGAACCCAGAGAAAAGGGGGCGGGCCCAAATCCAACCAGCCCTCTGGGCGGAGGTGGTTTGGAGAGCCCGTTCTCTTCCACCCCCTTCGTCCGCTTCGGGGAGGGGTTAATCACCGTTCCTTATTGATATACACCCCCTCCCCCAGGCGACCGGCGTCCAACCAGGAACCATGAGGACACCATGACGGCCCGCCCCCCACCATCCTTGTCAAAAAACAATACACACCGCACTCTGCCTCCACATTTGGAGCATGCGGGGTCAACCCGATGCAGCCATCCCCCCACAGTCCCCGTCAAAAACAATACACAGTAAATTTTGGGGCAAAGTCTTGAGTCATGCTCGTGAGGCCCGCGACCACTTTGTATTGTTTTTGACAGGACGGCAGGAGTGCCAGCATTTTGCCTGCCGTGCGCAGGGCTACCATCCCTGACCAAAAAAGCAATACAACCTGCACCTCGCGACCAAATCTGGATCATGCGCGGCTATCCCATGATCACTGTCAAATAGTTTTTGACGGGGGCGGCGGGGGTGGTGGCGCGTGGCCTGCTGTGCGCAGGCCCACAGGACACAATGATGGGCATTCGTTTTCGACAAGGATGGCGGGGGATGACATGTCTCCAGATGTGTGCTGTCACGTGCGCAGGCGCACCTGACGGACTCTGCACGTGCTCCGAACATGGCGCACCTGGCGCGGCTGGAGTGTGCGGCACACCTGGCGCACTGGGAGAACGTGACGCATCTGGCGCACCAGGCGTGCCTGGCACGCTCGGGCCCCAGGGATGCCTGGCGCGCGCGGCGCGCCTTGCACGCGTGGCGCACCTCGCCCCAGCGTCGCGCACTTGGGGTCGGCTTTGGTTCCCAGTAGCTGTCCATCCAAAGACGACCGCTGAACATGCTCAGGCTCGGGTGTTACTTATGTGTTGGGAGGGCGGGTGGGAGTGAGCTGGACGGCTTGCTATCTAGGAGGTATCTTGACCCCTCCTCCTACCCCCTACCCCTGGGCCTGGAGGGGGGTGGCGGGTGGTTGGGGCGTCTGCTTTGGCCAAGACAGCCCAAGAGAGCGCAAGATGACCTCCAAGATCGCTCAAGATAACCCTCGATGACTCAAAATAGCTCCTAACAAACCTACACGAGACTCCAAGACCGCCCCAAGACGGCCCCAAATGGCCACGGAGCCTCCCAAGGACGCCACCGAGAGTCCAAAACCCTTCAACAATCTAAAGAAAAACCATGTTGTTTGCCTTCTCGCTTTCAATGGGCTGGGCTCTTGAGGCTTCACGATGCCCCCAAGATGGCCCAAGAGAGCCCCAAGACAGGCACCAGAGAGGCCCAAGACGGGCCCAAGAGCGCCCCAAGAGCGGCCCAAGAGGGCCCCAAGAGGCGACGCTTCGGGTTCCGAAGAGCGTAATTGACGCCGCGCTCCTTTTTGAGCCGTGGCCTCCAAGATGGTCCCAAGAGACCTCCCAGACCCCCCCCCACAGAGCCCCAAGAGGGCCTCAAGACCCCCAAAAAGAGCCCCAAGGGTGCCCCAAGGGGCACCACGACGACCCCAAAAGGGCCCAGAGACCTGCAACATAGCCCCCAGGAGCGACAAACCCAGAAACGCCTTCATGGTTGACTTCGTCGTCGTCGTCGTCGACGTCGACGTCGTCGTCGCCGTCGTCGTCTTCGCCGTCGTCATCGTCGTCGCCGTCGTCGTCACCTGGTACGTCGTTGTTATCCTGGTCATCGCCGTCGTCCTCCCCGTCGTCGCTATCCTCATCTCTCCGCACACCGCCTTCTCTTCCCTGGTCCGCCTCGTCATCCTCCCACTGCCCCCACAAGAATGTATAACAGAAAGTAGGTAGGAGGTGAGCGGAAAAGGAGGAGACATGCGAGAGCAGGAGGAGACACGCACGAAAGTCACGACCGTCGGTGTGCGTCGTAAATTGTGCTGTTTTGGGATGGGCTGGTGGGGATCCTTTTTTTTGGTCGCGGCCGCAAGCGAAGGCGCAGGCGGCGTCCGAAGTCAGCCTGGGCTACGAGCGAAACCTAATTACCTAGCGCTGGTGGGGATTTTTTTTTGTTCGCGAGCGCGCAGGTGTGCGCCAGGCGCCGTCAGAGCGAAGCAGCAGGGCCACGACTGGTGGGGATCCGCGAAGCGTGAGCAATTCACTTCGGGGACCCCCCTTTCAGCTGACGGGGGTTGGTCCAAGCCTCTCTGTCTCAAGCACCTCTGCCTCGACCTCTGCTTCGGTCTTCTGATTCCCATGTCCGGCTCTAGAATGCTGTGAACCGCCCTCCACCCACAAACTATCCGGACACGGTGTTTCCCGAACGGTGAGGGGACCTCTCCGAGTCCCGCCCATGAGACTGCGATGCGTGATGATAGATGCGACAATGTCTGACCTTCGTAACGTAGGCGGCGTGCCCTGAGGGATCCGCACCCGAAGGCGCAAAAAAAAAAACAGGAGTAACGGGTGGGAGGTGCTTTCACCAAATGGCCACGGACGAAACAATCACAGTCGCAGGCGCTGCGGAAGCGCCGCGGAAGCGGCGCGGTCGCCCAAGCAGTGCAAACACGGCCGAGCCAGCCGATCCCCAGGAACAGGCGCAACTATCATCGCGGTCGCGACACCAGGAACAGAGTTTCACACGGCGAGGCTCCGACACCTTCTGCATGCAGAGACCGGTGCTATGGCAATATCTACAATGATGTTCTCGGAGGCCTCTCCGGGGAAATGTTCCGGGAGGCCTACAATCATGTTCCTGGAAGCCCCTCCAGGAACGCTTCTCCCGGAACCTAGGGAAAAAACATCCACGGCTGGATCCACTTTTCAAAAATCCTTGTTCGCCCGTTTGGAAAGTCGCGCCACCGCGCGCACTCCTGAAGCACGCAGACGCCACATCCTGCAATACTACATACGTTGATTGCGTTTCCGTCTGACCCCCTCCATGTGGCATCCTCTCGTATCGGTCCCGTGAGGCGTGCAACGCGTAGGCCTCCCATATGGGCTTCGCAAAAAGATCGCGTTGTTTGTCACAACATCATCATCCGTATGCGTCGGATACGTCACTGGGTGTGCTTTCCTGGACAAACCATGGTGGCGATATGCCCGCGACGTCAATCCCCCTCCTTCTCCCCATCCTGCTCTTGGACGCCCTCCGCTCCAAAGTGCCGCTACCATTCCCCTTTCCCCTTCCCCCTTCCCCGAGAAGAAACAGGAGGTCCAGGGAGGGGAGGTGGGAGGAGAAAGAGGACGGATGAGGAGGCGGGGAAGGAGGAAGGAGGGAAGGGGAAGAGGGGAAAGAGGAGGAGGAGGAGGAGGAAGAGACGGAGGAGGAGAAGACGGAGGAGCAGGAAGAGAAGGAGACGGAGGATGATGGGAGGAGAGCGGGAGCGAGAGGAGAGAGGAAGAAGAGGGAGGAGGAAGGAGGAAGGAAAGACGACGGCGCGACGGGAGCAGCGGAGGAGAAGCACCCCGCTGGGCAGTCTGTCCTCCTCGTCCCCGGTAGTGAGGCCGAATTCCTGGGGGGCGGCCAGGACGCCACGAGGCGTGATCGATCGGAGAACGACTTACGTGTCGGACGAACGGGGTGGGGCCGCACGGGGGGGTACAGAATCAACTGCATGCGGTTAATTTTCGCGGCGCCTCCCCGCGCCAGGAGCGACCGGGCATCGAGGAGCGCGCGGGGTGGCAGGGCCGCGACACGCTGCTTGCAGCAGATTTCGCAAACCCCGATCCCCCCCCCTTGACCTCACCAAGGCATCCCAAGGACCTACTCAAACCTCTGGCGGCTCGAGACGAGTCACCCGCTGCGTAGTTATCTTCGTGCCGCGCGCGGCCTCTCCGTGGGCCAGGCTATGGGCCCCGAGCACAGCATCGCAGTGAAAGGCTGGCCCCTCAAAGCCTTCCGAATGGGGTCCGTGTAGATTGGAACGGAAGATCGCGCCGCATCGCCGATGCATCGGTGATGCATGGGCGATGCCGACTATGATTCGGCGACGCCGTCGTGGCAAAAAACCGGGCTCCACGTATCGCCGATCCATCGGTGATGCGGCGCGATCCTTCGACCTCGTCTACTCAGACCCCATGGGGGAGCTCTGCATTCGGAGGCCTGGAGATGGGCACCAACACCCAGACAGGCAGGGGGGGGGGGGGGCCTCCGCCTCGGCCACCCAGGAAGCCCAAATACCACCACCACCGCAGAGATCGGGGGGCACCTTCCCTCGGTGGTGCTGGTGCCTGCGTCTGGAACCCCGATGATTGAGCAGGGGACGACCGTCCCGGCATTCCTATAGGCCTACCACGACATGTTCGTAGAACCCAAACATGTTCTCAGAACAACAACAATGTTATTAGAACATAAACCCGATGTGTTAAAACAAGAGGGTCCCAGCCAGAAATGGTCTGAGAACATGTTGTGGAAACCAAGAACATTGTTCGGTAGGCCTATAGGCACGCCAGGACGCTTCGCCACTGCTCGAGATGAGGCCCTGGGCAGGCGCCGAGACCTCCAGGGGCCCGCGGCTCCACACGGAAAAGCGGGGCGGCGGCGCCAGCCGGCGCCAGCCGGCGCCAGCCGGGGCCTCGGCGAGCGCAGCGCAGCCGCACGTTCCCGGCCGGAGCGGCCGCGAGAGGCCCGGGCGGCGGCCGAAGAGCAGCGGCGGGGGGCACGCCGGGGCACAGCGCAGGGCACGAGGGGCGGAGGGAGGGCGCGAGGAGGCGCGGGGCGGCGCCAGAGGGGCCCCGGGGGGGGGCGAGGGAGCCAGGCTCCTCGGGGGGTGCTAGGGAGGTGCTCCTGGCCCCCAAGGTGCCCCCAGCTTCGCGCTCCATTACATGGAGCCCCCAGGGGCCGCCAGGGCCTCGGGAAGGGTTCTGCGCTGGAGGCCGCTGGGGGCCTCCTCGAAATCCTGGGGGCACCTTGCCTTGTGCCAGGGGCACTTCTGCCAGCACCCGAGCTCAGGCCACGAAAGTCTTCGTCGGCGTACCAGAGAACAAGGCGAAATGCAAGGCGAGCACGAGGGCGGAGCCGAACATGAAGCCCGTGAGAGCAGGGTGGGGGTAGCCGTACAGCGTCGTCAGTCGACACAGACACAGCCGCACACAGGTCACCTAAGTTCGCGCTGTCCTCCGCGAGCAGCGCACCTCAGCCTCCGAGCTCGGTACTCGATGGCCCCATCTATGAGCGGCATGGGCGCCCACAGGCAAGAGTGAAGGGGCCCCAGGACACACAAATAAATACACACAAATAAAAATCCTCCCCATATTTTCCCATATTTTCCGGGTGTTTGTCTTCCAACCCACTTCCCATATTTTCCCATATTTTCCTGGGAATCGACGATTAATTGTGTCTGTGTGTTTTCTCCCCTCCTGAAAGAGGAGCGAACCCAGACCTCCGACATCCCGAGTCCCTCCATCTGCCAGACCCCTCGGCCTCATCGTCCGCATATGCGGTATGTGGCTTCGCGCCGCGGGCTCATCCTGTCGGCCCCCAAACCCGCAACGGGCCCCCCTGCAGCCACAATCCTGCCGCCTCCGAGAAGCTCTCGTCGAGGCGCAGCTACTGGAAGTACTCTCGGGGCTAACCTTTGGGGGATTCGACCCTGCCCAGAAACCTCCGCCGAAGTCACTGGAGGTTGGCGGCGCGCAAACGGGGGACGAGGGCGGCGTCTTCCTAAGAAGGCAAGCGACTTCCTACAAGGGATCGGCAGGCCTGAGCTGCATCGACACGTGAAACCGGGTCGGGTTGGAAACGAGTCGGACGCCAGCGAACCGATCCAGATCGCATCTAAATCGGACCGCCGCGCGTGGCTCTGGCTGGCCGCGGCCGATGCAAGTGAATCGAACAGAATCGAATCGCGGCACCAGCCGGCAATTCGAATCGCATCGAACAAGGCTCCCTAGAGAGCAGGAGGGCTTCTGGAGGCAGGACTCCATCT